CAACAAAAACGGAAAGGAAAAGGGTCAAACTTTTTTGTAATAACCATGACTCTCTGGTAATGTATGAAACTTGTAGCAGTAAAGTGTATCCGTATTATTTCCCCAGAGACCCAGTGTTATTTTGGCAACCGTTTACGATCCGTCTGCTGTTGCCAACACTGCCTGTGATGTCATCAGTTCAGGCAATGCTAAGCTACAGACAAATCAGCCCAATGGATTTGTAACAATAATCAGTCACTGTAACATTTCATGAGTTTGTCCGCTGCTCGCGGAGAAAAAAAATATATAATGTTGGATATGATGCAAAAGTCAGGAGTTCATATACTGTATCTTTTCTACACAACCTCCTCTTGGAAAATCAAATAATCTATGAAACATGAGTTTAGATGCAACAGGTGATAAACAAAAAAGAATAAGAACTGCAAGATGATGTGGACGATCTTTCCACTGGAACAATCAGATGCACTGGACCATAAGGAACTGCTGAACATGAATAAGGAGCCTTCAGGGAGGAAGACCGGGAATTATTGAGGAGTTTACGGAGCAGTCTTAAAGTCAAGATAAGAGGAAGCAATGAGGTATACAAGAGGAAGCTGGATAGAAAGCTCCATAATTACAGAGATATGTGGGCAAGTCTGTTCTGGAGTCGGATCTCTTCCCATCATCTGCTGGGTTAACGGCATCAGAAACCATTGCCTTAAAAAAGCTAACGATCCATAAAAGGAGGATGGTTCTCTTCCTGGAACTGCTTTAAAGGAAAACTCCGGTCAGAAAGGAATAATCAATGGATCATTATTTATACCTAAAACTAATACATTTGCATTGATTTAATGAATATAGCGTTAATCAGTAAAAAAATGAAAATAATTATTTTCTTCCGATCACTGAGTCTGGGAGCGGCCATTTTTGCCCAAATATAGTAACCCCTCCCTCCTGCCATCTTCCAGCAGTGATGTCACGGTGCGGTAAGCCTAGCGCCATTCTCCCCGCTTTACAAGCAAAATCAATGGGAACTACTAGACACATCTGCAATCAACAACAATTATTGAAGATTTCCAGAGGACTTCACCATTGAAATTCACCAGAGCTATAGTGAAACTGACAATGCCCACGTGCATGGCAGCTGGATGCTGGAATACATCGGGTAAAAGTGAAAAAAAATAAGTTATTTCAGCTTTCCGATTCCTGATCCTCCACGGACGGGTTGGTCGTTGGATCGCCAACTTGAAGAGGGAGGATTTGCCATCGAACTTCTGGCCAGAGAAAAAACACGTAATATGTAGCCAACATTTGGAAGAAGAATGTTTTCAAGGTGACTTGGATAATAGCGCGTTGTGTCAAACACCAGATACAGCACTGGGACTTGATCAACAGCCGATACCGCACCGTGACGTCACAAACCAGTAGGTGGCAGTAGTGTTCTTTGACAAACATGGATGCCTCCAGTAAAGCACATTCAAATGAAAATTACTCTGAATTAAAAACAGTTATCATTTATTGAACAGGATGTAATAATTTCATATTTAAAGTACTTTCAGAAGTTTGAATTCTGAATGCGACCAGACTTTTCCTTTAAAAGCTTTGGAGATGATGATGCGGAGACCAAATTTCCATATATTGAAAAACATCACAGACAACCCTAAGCATCTTGTTCTTCAGTAAGGGGCATCATCAGATTTGCTGTAACACTGACCTCTATAGGAGATCCAGCCACCAGCAACTACAGCAGCTCTGAAGAACTAAACGGCCTATTTGGTTTAAGAAAGTGCCCTAACACCCCCCCCCCCCCCCCAATTCAAATAAGCTGAACTATGTGAACCTTCTGTTACACACAGCTGTGCTCAGAAGGTTTATCACAGCTTTGGTATTAAACACAGTGTAATCAGTTGACATAAAGAACTCCCACATCTTTAACTGCTACATTAGTAGGGATGGTGGCTGCACTAATACAAAACAGATAAACGTTGTTATTTAGTATTTTACAAAAGATATTATTAAAGAAAATAAAGCTGACTGAATCAGATCTTTTTCATGCTACAAATTAGAGCTGGTTAATAACATCAGTAATTAGACAAGAAGACATTACAAGAAGCGTCAAGCAGCCGACTGAAGCTGCATCAATGTCTATGCTACACTTCAGCGTTACTCAATAAGTGCAAAGTATTATTTTAATCTAAATAGAAAAGCAATAACAAATATATGGAATGACAAAAATCTTAAATAGTAGCTAATTTTTAATAGAATCCAAGTAAATTAAGCAGTGATGTGTCTCGATTGTATGAAACTGATTCGTTCAACCATCTGTCTTTGGGCGTCGAGGTTGTTTCATTTCCAAGTCCCGTTTTTTTTTCTCTTATATTTAAACCATTGAGAAAACAGTAAAGATGGGTAAGGACTTTAATCACCTGGAGTAAAGAAGTTTAGTCCTAATTTACACAGCATCCACTGCGCTGCAAAGCCCGAAAGAGCTCAGATTGCTCACTAAAAGCTTGCGGCAACGCAAGGCAGACCACAACTCCTGCCATGGATTTCAAAACAGTTAAAGATTTTGCTACCTTTCATTTTTTTTGGGCAATCCAGCTATTTTCAGCGGTTATTCTAGAATGGATAAATACACAGAGTGCAAAGAAACTACACTAGTTGCTTATATTTGTGCATTTAATGTTCAATCATTAGGTTTTGATCTAATTCAATTCAGTTTATTTCTATAGCGCCAATTCTCAACACATTGATTCAAATTATTTCAAAGATTTCCATCTAAGGAAAACCAGCTGACTGCATCGACTCATTGACTTGAAGGTAATCCCACACAAAAAGCATGCTTGTAGTGACAGTGGAGAGGAAAAACCCCCTTTTAACAGGAAGAAACCTCCAGCAGAATGTGGGCAGTTGATAATAAATACATCTATTCATCTATAAATAAATATGCATTTTATTGTAGAGAGGTTTTAAAGCAAATATAGGTGTCTTTAGTAACAATTTTAAAAATCCAAGACAGTGTAAATGCTCTCATTGATAAGAATTGTTGCACATTTGCTGCTCGATTCCAGCTGGGCACAGCAAAGCGGATGCTGTGTAATTTACTTAGACGCTAAAAATTTATTGGCTACACAGAATGATCTACTCTTTATAAATGTTTAAAATAAAGAAAAACAGACAAAACAAAACAACAGGGCTGCAGAGGAAGCTGCACCTCCCCCTAGTGGACTCCAGAGTACAATGCAGATCAACGCTTCCAGCAGGGCTGTTTTTTGGAGTAAAATATGCAGAAGATACAAGAGGAATATGCAGATGCCAGAAAATTCCCTGGGTGGGTGGGGGGTTTATGGGGTGGGGGGTTATTGAAGGGAAGCTGGGATCTTTTAGAACATCAGGATTTATGCTATCTGCTCAGTGGAGCTGCAGTCAATCAACATCAGCCTCTGAGGAAGGAAGGATAGTTAAAGAACTTTCACCTGAAGCCGGAAACTGACATAACTGAAAATACTCGGCAGTGCAGTTTTCCTGCAAAATTCCTGCAAAAAGTCTCCATAAGGAAGAAAGATTCGGATTTATGTTCCAAAAGCACCATCAAGTGGGAGAAATGGTCGTTTGGCATCACCGCCCTGATGTTCTGTCCGATGTGTGCAGATATGTCTGACCACAGACGGGGAACGTTGCCTCAACTCAGGAAAATAATGGAAGAGATTCAATTTTTTTTAGCTGTCCTGAACATTTTAAGTAAATGTCAGCTTGTTGTCATACCCTGTGTCTCCTGTCACCAACAATTGATACGTTTGCAGAACAGCAGCGGAAGTTTCAGACTTTTTCCACACTGATGTGGTGAGAAGATGGGAACCAAGATAAATCAGTGGTTTCATGGCACTCAAACCCAAACACCATCTGAACTGAGCTTTAGATGATGAAATATCAGGTGTCTGAGTGCAAGTATAGAATGATCTAGAAGTTTTACAGTATTCTCATCCCCTCCTTTGGTGTTTGACCAGAGGTGCTTAAAAGTTCCCACATACCTGTGTTGGGATGAAACATCCCAAAAGGATTAGGAGAAATACCAGAAATGGGATCAACTCTGTCAGGGTTGCCATGACAGCGTATTTTTTACTACAGAACGTGTCGTTTTGTTGTTTCGTTGTTTATTTTCTATTTGTTTTACGTAAAGAAAGTTAACATTTCTGTAAAGATCTGGTGGCCGAACCGACGGCAGATAATGGCTTTTAGAAAAAAGCTCGAAGTAACAAAATGTCCTTTTTCCAACATGGATTTGGAGCAGCTGCTGATTAACTTGCACTGAGATGAATTTTGTGGGTCTGTGTGTTTGGAAGGTCGACAGCATGAAACCTTAACATCTCTAGCTTTCATCCAGTTAAGGTAGAAAATGCACACAAAAAATATATATTCAGTCAGTCAGTAAATCTATTTGATATGACTGTTTATTGTGATAAATATCATTGGATTTAAGTGTGAATAATTTTGAATGGCCTTTAGCTTTTGATTATTTCTTTGACTGCATCCCAAAAACTCCTTAAGTTTCCATGAAATCTACCTCAATCCTTCAGTTCCCATCTGAAAAGTTCCCATCACAGCAAACCGTGACCATCTGTGCTCCCTGTGTCAGGTTTATAAACAGAACCCAAAGCAACTATTACGTAGTCTTCCATCAGTTCTCTACTGTGCAGACATTTTTATATCTAAGGGAAATATATTCAAGGACATTACAACTTTCTTTTCTTTTTTTTTACTTCACGCTTTTTTAGGTACTATATACACTCTTTTTATATTGTCTGTGGTATTTATATCTTTGATGGCATTTTGCTTTAACTCTTTGTACTCTATATAAGCTATTGGAATCAGAATTTCCCTGAAGGAGTAATCCCAAGGGATGAATAAAGTTGAGTCTAACTCCAAGAAAAATCCTGTTTTAGAAAACTCCTTCATGGATGCAACCACCATGAAACTTTTGGTACAACTAAAGTGGATTCTCTGATGGAACAACCTTGTTCTGCATGTTTTTGGTCTCAAACTCCATTGAAAGTTGAAAGAATTTGGTCCAGTTTTGGTTTTGAAACAAGAACAGATTTGATAATGATGGTGGTGGTTTTGAAAAGCCCGGAGCTGTGAGACCTGCTGCTCAGCGCTGACCCACATGTACCATAAACAGTTTTCTAAACATTGCTCTGCGCCTCCCTCTAGAACTCACTGACGCCGGTAAGGTTCGGTCAAAATGTTGCGGCGTTGCATCATGCAGACATCAGGACGGCGACATGGATGAGGGCGCAGGATGGATGACAGCAATCCGATAGGTCGACACAGCTCGCTGTGAGGCCTCTTCCTGTTTAGCCTCAGGCCCTGGTGAAGCTAGGAACCACTAGAACCAAAATAGCCGCCACTGCGATCGCTGCCACCGCCAGGTTCCATCCTTCTGAGTCGTTCTTCTGAAAACAGGCCAGAAGACATATTAGAACATTGGCAGGGAATAAAGCTGGCTGTTATTCGAACATCTGAGGAAGAATCAAAGACATTTCAAACATCAGAACAGCAACTAACAGACAGCTAAACAACAAACACTGTTAAATCCCTTCAAGTTCTTCCAGAAAACCGAATATGCTAATGAATGCTTGGGTTTTTCTGTCTTCTTCTGCATGTAGATATCAGAGTTTGGCTTTTTTACATGTAACATTCAGGCTCTGAAGCCGGATTTTATCTGCATAACTTGAAGTTTCCTTTTTGCTGCTATAAAATGCAGCAGTTGGGAGAAGGTCCTTGGAGTCGGATGGTGGAGCACAGCAGAGATGTAAACAAATATCATAATCATTCAAACTATCCGTACTAATCCCTGATGTTTGCACGGCTGATCTAAACATGAACCACCATTTTTCCCCCACCTATTTAAACTCTTTCTGGCAATGCAAAGACTCCAACAAACTTGTGGTTAATAATCCAAGGAACTGTCTTCCTTTTTCATATCTCCTGAAAATATCTTTGGATGCAAACAAAAAACAGATTTAACTTCAGCTTATGTCCCTTTTCCAACTGTTTTGGCCTGAATTCCACATTGATTACTGACTTTCGTTGAGAGGTCGGTGTATGCCTCTTCAACTACCTCTGGGAAGCACTGCGGATCGAAACATCTGCATTAATAATTAGAGCTGAAACGAATAATATTAAAGTGTTGATGGGAGTTGACTGGAGAGGAGACACAAGCAGAGCAAGTCCAGGATGAGGAAACCAAAGAAGGCTTTAGAACTGTGTGGGAAGAGCTCTGCTATGGTGGACTACATCCACCTCTGTGTGGACAACATTGTTCCCCTCAGGAAAATACTGTAACAGAGAGCCATGAGGACCCAAATATTTAGCCAGACAATAGATGGATGCTTGAAAATATATGGCTAAATGTGTTCAGGGAGTGACTGGAAGCCCCCAGCAGGATCAGGAAGCTTTAAATGGGAGAGATGGGTTGGTGGTTGGGCAGGAATTCTTTACAGCAATCGGCGATCAGGGCAATGAAACTCGACCAAAGCAATGGGAGCAGAAACAGGCAACAGCATCCGAGAGTCAGGCTTGAATCAGTTGTCGGGGCAAAGAAATGAAGGTTGAACACTAGGAGGCGGATTAACTATGACAGATCAATGGGGTCCGAGGTTTCAAGTAACCAAGTACAAATACTTCATTACTGTACTTAAGTACACTTTTTAGGTATCTATACTTTACTCCATTACTTATTTTTCTTCCTATTTCTGACTTCTACTCATTACATTTTCAATCAAGTATCTGTACTTTCTATTCCTAACATTTTTAAAACAAACGTTACTAGTTACTTTTGGCTTCGGTTTAATGTTTGTAAATATTTATTTCACGTCATGTGCTCCATCCAATGCAGATCATTGGCTCCATACACATCTAGTGAAAACTAGTGTAATTGGATGAGTCATATGACGCAAACACTCATTGGTTAGCTAAAGGAAATCATCAGAAGCAAGCAGGTGTTCTTCAAACTGCAAACGTGAATTATCTATGCCATAATTTTGACACCACTGAATGGGCTTGGCGGGAGGCAGAAAACGGGGTCGATGTCCAGAGATCAGAGGCCAGGAGAATATCAAACATGGGCAAGACACAACAGGGAGCAATAGCAGGCAGACGTGATAAAGATCAGGCAGTCAGGGAAGGAAAGAATGCTGGACATTTACTGACATGATATATTTTAATAATCTGGCACTGTTTGTCAGTCAGAGAGCAGTACGTAAAGCCAGGACAACAGTTGGAGCAAAAGAAGTGAGATTAGGGTGCAGAAAGGGGAGAAGCAGGTGGAAATTATTAAAACTGCTGCAGCACAGAGAAGATTGGGGGCAGGCAGGGGTGGTGCCCACAAATAGGCCAGAATCAGGATGATTACAGCATTTCCCCAACAACAAGCCCCACATCAGGGGTGGGCAATTCCAGTTTCTGGGGGCCGGTATCCTGCAACTTTTGGGTCCAACTTTGGTCCAACACACCTAAATCAAATGGCTGAGTTTCCTCCTCAGTATGCAGTGAGTTCACCCAGTCATCTCAATCATCTTATTACTTGATTCAGTTGTGTTGAACCACATCTAAAAGTTGCAAGATACTGGCCCTCAGGAGCTGGAATCGCCCATCTAAACCAACTAGATCCACGCCTAAATATAAGCTCAACTGAAGCAGAAGAGGGGAGCATTGGATAAAGAAACAAGGTGAAGCTCAGCACTGCAAGAACAGAGTTAAAAGAAAATATTTAAAATAATCAGAGATGAGACGAGTAATGCTCCTGGCAGACCAGCTGCAACAGAACAGGAATAACCTGAAAAGCACCTCAAGGTAAATAATCAGAGCTTCCTCAGGTTTAACCAGCAAATCAACCCGCCACACCCCATCTTTCTCAACACTCTGGGTGAAGAAAGTCCTGCAGGGGATCAAACTGAGAAAGGCTGTAGGTCCAGTTAGCAACAACAATCCAATTCATCAAAGACCACCAGACAAACAGACCACAGTTTGATAGACTGAAGGGTCAGTTGTCTAACAGGGTACTTTGCAGCACAGAAGCGTCACAGGGGACGATACTCTCACCACTACTTTTTACCCTGCTAACCTCCGACTTCAAGTAAAAGACAGAGTCCTGTCATTGGCCAAAATACTGGGAGGACTCTGCAATCATTGGGTGGATCAGAGATGGATAAGAACTGAGTATAGAGTGCTGGTGAACCGCTTTGTGGCATGGTGTGGAAACAAACATCTGATCCTGAATTTGAACAGAACAAGAGATGATTTTAGATCTGAGAAGGACATGGAACAAGTGTAATGCTATTAACACCATTGGAAAAGAAGAGGAGGCGGACACTAGGCTGGACTGAAGATACAACTATTAAGCCATCTACAGGAAGGGACAGTGCAGACTGGACCCTAACATAAAGTTTAGCTAGAATTCTTCATAAAACAAAGAATATTCTGGACAACAGTGAATAATCTCTTCAGATACCCCCAGTAAGACAAGCTCCTGCAGGAGATCCTTCCTGTCTAAAATTTTTAACGGAAAAGTCTGGTCAGCAACGAATAATCAGTGCATCATTATCTTTACCTAAAACTAATATGTTCGCGGTGATTTAATGAATTTAGCCGGCCATCTTCCAGCAGTGACGTCACTTTGCGGTAAGCCTAGCGCCATTACTAGACACATCTGCAACAATCAACAACAATTATTGAAGATTTCCGGAGGACTTCACCATTGAAATTCACCAGAGCTATAGTGAAACTGACAATGCCCACGTGCATGGCAGCTGGATGTTGGAATACATCGGGTAAAAACAAATTAGTTATTTCAACTTTCCGATTCCCGATCCTCCACTGATGGGTTCATCGTTGGATTGCCAACTTGAAGAAGGAGGATTTAACATCGAACTTCTGGCCAGAGAAAAAACACGTCATATGTAGCCAACATTTGGAAGAAGAATGTTTTCAAGATGACTTGGATAATAGCGCGTTGTGACAAACAACAGATACAGCACTGGGACTTGATCAACAGCCGATACCGCACCGTGACGTCACAAACCAGTAGGTGGCAGTAGAGTTCTTTGACAAACATGGATGTCTCCAGTAAAGCACATTCAAATGAAAATTACTCTAAATTAAAAACATTTATTGAACTGTATGTAATAATTTAATATTTAAAGTACTTTCAGAAGTTTGAATTCTGAATATGAGCGGACTTTTCCTTTAACTTCTACAAGAATCCCCAATAAGAGTTCCAACTTTTAATTTACCGTCGGTATCAATCAAACATTGTATTTATTGAATTTTAGTTTTTAAAAACAGTAGCACTGTTCAAAGATTCCCATTGCAATATCTATAAGTTGAAAAGGAAAACCTTTTAGAGAAACAAGTTCTGACTGTTTTTTTTTATTTTCAATTGGAGGTATTCCAAGTAGAGAAACTGAAAGCTTTCACTCCCATTTTAGTTCAACCAGGAAGAGTAGAGAAATGGAGCGGAAGTGGAGCCATCTCCTCTGCAGAGGGGATGGAGATTAGATTAAGGAGGTTCTCAAGGGGTTCACTTCAAGATAAGTCCTGCTTGAGGCTTATAACAAACATACCACGGCTGTGCATGCTGAACTCACCACCAAGCTCCATGCAGGACCCTGACAGGCTCCCATCATGATAATAAACCAATATAACCCCATTTTCATCTATTACTCACATTTTGGATCTTTATCCAGTATGAGGTCTACCATACATAGCAAAACAGTTGAAAGTGACATCACCATGCCTACTTCACTTTAATGGATGAGTTTTTTAAGAACTACAGGAAGAGTTATTGTTGTTTTTAACAAGTTCTTTCTTTTCCAACTGGCAGAGGACCATGGATTTCCTTCGTAAATAAGACGTGAGGTTCTCCTGTGATGCAGAGCACTTCTATCAGCTGAGAGATAATCACATTTGTTCAGAGTCATTTTCTCAAGCGCATCACTCATCATGTCAGTGCAGCCTTTGCAGAGCATGAAGGATGCGCAGAGATCAGGAGGAAGAAAGTGTTTAGTATCAGGTTTCATTTAAAGTCCGCAGCAGCTAACTGTATGAAGGGGGTTTGAGTAGTTGTTGATTTTCAGCTGATCTCGGCTGCAGAAAGAAGCAAAGCCATGGCCATACCTGGTCCCCCTTAGGACGCCAGCTCCTCCCACCAGCACCAAATCAAGGCCACTATTACAATCAATCCTATGAAGGGGATGGAGAAAACTGGGGGCTCGGAGGTACGGGTGCAGTTCTGAGGAGAAGACAGGGGCGGGAGTGAAAAGGGAGAGGAGAAAATAAAAGTAGAAAAAAATCTGAGTACTAAAGTGAGGAGTGACAGGAAGAACATATAGGGAGCAAATAAAATGTGGTTTGATGAACAAAGATTTACAGGCAGGCATGTAGAGCATCAACACAGCTTCTATTTACAAAGAATTTTATTGTTATAAAATAGTATAGTTATAGTTTATAGCATAAAATTCATGGGAAATCTGACAATGCTCGGATGAAAGCATGCCAACAGAAAGATGGACAAGAAGCAACGTAAACATGGTCCAGAGCCCAGTGCTTACCATACACACTAAAGTTATCTCCCTGTAATTATCTATGCTAAAATGTAAGGTCACAGAGATGTCACAGGTGGGGTGGACAGGTTTATCCACCAAAGGAGGAAAGATGTTGGCTGTGTCTGAACGTCCGCCTTAATCACTATATAGTGGTTACGCCATTTTCAATGAGTGTTGGAGCATCTGGTGGATGAAAAAGTAGTGGCCTTAAAACTTCCCAAAATGCACCTCGAAAAGTAGTGATCATCCATGGTTACTAGAGGAGCAGATATATCCCACGATGCTTTGCGATTTGTTGTCACAGTGGCCCGCTGTTGCCATAGGCTGTCGCTACCCAACAGCGGCGACAAATGACAAAGATGCCACAGGCACCGTAGTAGGCGGAGTCACGTGACCAATGGGACCAATATCCCTGTTCTGACTCTTGAAGGAGGCGGTCACACTTTCCTGCTGCTCTGCAACTCCCTGGTCTCTCCCTGCTTTGCTGTGTCTTGTCTTTATGATCCCTCTCTTCATATGACCTGAATTTAAACAGTATTTCTGGCAAGCTGGTCACTTAATGCGATTAAATGTGCTCAACTGGAAGATGGGAATAGGGGACCCTTCCTGTCCTGCCAGGACATACTTTTTGGGATACACCATGGACTCCTGGAAGGCTTGGAGGATGGTGTGTTTTACATTGTTGTCAGTCGAGGATGTGGTAGATGCATGGAAGATTTGGAGGATACCTGATGTGTCTGCAATTATAGAGGATGTCGGCGACAAATTGGGCATTGATCAGCCTGCCAGAAGCGGTTAACATGCTCACAAAGGTTGTGAACGAGTAGCACCGGGAGCTGAATCATATGCTGGGTGCGATTGAACGCAGGCTGGCTGCGGTGGTTGAACACGAGGGTGAGATGGGGTAATATCTTGGATGTGAACATTTGCTTCAAGGCGGAAAAGCCCAACAAATTCGGAATATTGGATTCACCATGTGGAGCCAACAAGAAAAGACTCAGAGGCTGATGGAAAATTCTGTGCAGCCTGCTCTGAAAAGAAATAGCGTTTTTTGGGATTTGGCCTCTCCCTTATCAAATCTCCCCAATATTGAGGTAATCCAATGTTATGGCAGAAGGGCCCAGAACTACTTTAGCTCTTAAATATATTTTTTTAATTGTTATGTTAGTGCCATCCACAAGGGGGCACAGCTGCTCATTATTAGCAATAGAAGTAATGCCAGTTTTAGCCGTGCTGCATGGCGGTGCTGCATAACGTCTCTGCTGTGCTCTAAAGGCGAGGATTTGATGATAGGAAGGTGGAGGGCATTATGAAAAAAACATTTGTTACATGATAAAAAAGAAATGTTAGCAACTAGCACGGTAGATGGGGAAAGCTTTATGAGTTAATGGACTTTATGGAGCTAAGTGTCAACGTTCCTCTGAGAACAATGTTTGGATCACTGATGTAACCGGAATTACTCCCCTCTGAAGACAAACCCCTCTGGCAGAGGTTTTAAAAGACGTTACTTCCTGTTCAACTTCCTATTTTGCCGGTAGTCACCTCGACTGCTAAAGGCTAGATGCTAAAGCGCTTCCAGCTGAAGACTAGGCTAAGTAGTGACCAAAGCTCAGCCCAGCTATCGGGGCCAAATCATTGACTTTTAGTTTTTACTTTCAGTGCGACATCTTGGCTGATGTCCTGGGGTCTTGTCATCTCAGAGGTCAGTGGTTAGAGATGATTTTTTTAGTCATGTCTTGCGTTTCGTGATCGTGTCCTCGCTCTTATAAATACCCCACTGATCATATTTATTCACGATTAAAGGGGGTTTTCCTCTCCATTGTCGCTATAACCATGCTTGGTGTGAGGGATTGCTGAAGAGTCAATGGTCAATAAAATCAGACATTCCCCAACTATCAAGGAGTACCAAGATGGCGGCAAGTGACCTCAGTTCTTTCGGCCTATCGGCTATCCAGTGAATTAATAGAGATCAGTGGCCTTCCACACATTTTGCATTTAAATCAGATACTTTGATGCTCAAAAGGCCCCTAGTCTGAAGCTGGCTGTTCGATTGGCCGACATACTGAAGGATTTCTGACTGACAGTGGCTGAACTCTAAGATCCTGAAGCGCTGATAACGCAGCATAAATGTGAAGTAAAGGAATAAACTAGTTTTGTATTGGAGCTGCTGAAACAGGCTGCAGCTGTACCTGAGTCAGCCGGAGGGCTGCTGCTTCGACCTGCTTCTTCTGGCTGCCGTGTTCGGGGTTCAAACCAAAGTTCTGCACATTTCCAGCTAAGACAGAGACCTGATCTTGAGGAGGCTGTAAGCTGCTTTATTTTTTAGCTACCATGTGAAGCAGACTTTGAATCAGACAGATGGAGAAAATAAAGGTTCTCTAAAATAACATTAAGCGGCTTGCAACAGAAAGTTCAGAAGATCTGCTGTATGAGCAGACCTGCAGCCAGCATGCACAGAGGTGGAGAGCAGTCATGGTGAGAAGCACAGGAATCTCAACAAGGTCCCCGGCTTCCAGGTTTCTCCCAATCTTACCTGGAATGGGATCAGATGTTCCTCACCAACTACTTCTTCTTAGTACAACCCGCAGCTGATTGTTTGTAGGACAACCCGGCCCCTCTGATCTCTTACCTGCGACTTTTTTCCCATCAGTTTCTGGAGCTCTGCCTTGCAGCTCTGCAGCTGGAGCTCCAGAGCTGCTCGCTCCTGCTGGCTGAGTTCAAACAGACGCTGCAGCTCCTCCAGCTCCATCCTCAGACCTTCACACTGACAAACACAGAAAACATCCCAGAATACAATCATGTTGTGTTTGACAACCAAGTAAAACAGAAACTATGACCCAGGAGCTTTAAGTCAGCTACCTCCTGCTGGACCTTCTGGGCCATCTCCTCAGCCTGCCTCAGCTGGCCCCTCAGGATCCTGATCTCTTCCTGGACCTCTGAGGACTCTGGATTCTGCAGTTTGGTTACGGACTGGGACAGAGTGATGTACGGCTCGGCCTGTAGCTGCTCCTTCTCTTCAGTTTGACCCTCAGCTCTGACTTCCAGGTATGTGTCATCACATCTGAACATATGGTGATAAAGCTGTTAGAATTCAGCTGTCTATACCCAAATGTAATGCACACAATGCAAAAATTGAAATCTAAGTAAGTAGATTTTTCTTAAAATAAGAGCATTTTCTCTTGAATTAAGCAGTCAAGTGATACACTTTGCCAATGGAATAAGGCAATTTACATTTAAAATAAGAAAAAGCAACTGCAGTCTCTTATTTCAAGTGCATAATATTTAATTATCTAATTTTATACTTATTTTATGTTAGGAATCCAGTTTGTGTGGGTTGTTTGTGTGTTTTTCTCTCTCCACCACCAGGTGGTGCCCCGTCCTCGTTGGGCCTCCCTGCACACCTGCGGCTCGTTGGATCATTATCTGGAGGAGTATTTGAGCAGTTGGCTGTAACTAACTCGACGCCAGAGTGTTTGCCAGTTTTGGGTACTCTAGCCAAGCTGAGATTAGCTGAGTCTAACTGAGTCTTTGTTTCTCTGAGTCTAATATAGTTTTTTGTCTTTGCCTTTCACCAGGAAGCCTTCCTGTTTAACTGGATACCTGGCCTTCTCCCCCTGGAAGGATTAACTGAGTTCACACTGAGCAGGGGAAAACATCCACATGAGCCGTTCAAGTCCCTTTCGGAAATCCAAGTGAAAGCCCTCTCCTGTTTTCTGGATAAACCTACACTGACTGGATTCAAGGATAAACAAGAACCCCCTCAAACGTGAGTCCCTCTCCAACAGTATTCAAGCGTCTGTCAATTTTCCTACGGACACTGAACTGATCACTAAAATCTCCCCTCTTGTTAACTTTTCCCCTGTTTCTCTGAGTGGTTCTCTGCATGTGGGTCTGATCTCTAAAAACAATCATGAAATTTTAGTAGAAATGCTCTTTCCATTGGCAGATTATCTTATTTTCCTGCTCAAATGAAGGGAAAACACATTCAATTTAGGAGATTTTTACTCATATTTAGATTGTTTTTGCAGTGCAGAACCTGTTTCACCGCTCACAGGAACCGACACCAGTGTTTCAAATTGTGTTAACATCTAAATATACTGGGGCCTCGTGGGTAAAGTGAGTTCACGCAGAAAATAATCCGCAACGCAACGTTTTACATAAAACTCTGGATGTATCAAAACAGAATAAAAAAATGTGAATCAGCAGCAAAACTTTAAAATCCACAATAAGGAGCTAAAAAGCAACAAAACTGAATTTATAAAGTGAAACGGGGCTCCATTTAGTCAATTTAAACGGAAGCTGATGTTTCTCCAAGAGTTTGAGCTTTGAAGATTTAAATATGTAGAGTGAAACTGAATCCAATCAATCCCCATACGACAGAGTAACACAGCTAATAAATGATGGAAGAAGCTTCAGTCTGATACTGTAAATATCCCTTCAGTTAGGGTTTAGATGTGTATCAGTCTGTGCACATAGGAGCTTTTCTAGCAGAAAAAGGTGAAGAACAATAAGATTTATTCCGAACAAGTCAAATGTGATGATTAATCAGGTGGAAAAGGTGGAGACGACCACGCTTTTCCGTGAATAGCTGTGTCAATGTTTAGTGATGGAAGCCTTGGCTGTCCTGGGGGACATCACCAGTGGAGAAATTAAAATGTGGATGTCTGAGGGTAAAGCGTGGTCTAATCTGACTGTTTTTTTATGCTGCTAATGTCGACGTTCATCCCCACCACCAACTGTTAAGGCTGGTTTATACTCAGAAACCAGGTCGTCTGTGTGTGTGTCGCAGTGAACGGAGATATGCCCTACCCCTTCCGCAGAAACACTGCTGCTCCTCTCCAAAAGTGTAGTTGACCGCAGACAAGAAGCTTCTGATTGGTCAAATCTACATCCACTCTACTCTATGCGTATTTCCTGTTTGGTACCTTACCAGCTTGTTTTCTTTTTATGACCACCATTGTGGAAAAAGACTCGTGAAGTTGGGCCAGCTAGAAGAGCGAGGTGCGCGAGAACGCTGGGGCCCTTTCTCCATCTGGATGCCCGCTCTTTTTCGCCCTCATGTCCCTCCGTTGTTGCACAAACTTGTCCCTTGCATTTTTCCACTTCCTTACCGCCTTGGCCGTATCTAGACCCACAGCTAGTTCGTGGTTGTCCCTCTCGCATTGTGGCGTGGAATAACATAGCGTAGACCACACTTCAATATTGGGCATAGATCAAAAATATCTGCGACAAGCTCACTGCGACACACTGCTGCAGGAGGATAACCAGCCCTGCACTCTCCTTTACGCATGAGGCCCCAGGAGTTCTGGTCCCTCTGGACTCTGTATGGGAACCACTCACACGTCTCGATGCAGTTGCTCCAGTTGGTTGCTCAGCGCTTTGTTGCTGCTGCTCAGGATCTGACGCTGGTCTGTCAGAGAAATTAACTCTTCTTGCAGCTGAGTCACCTCACCTGGACACACCCAGCAGAGACCAAACTGATGAGTTCCGTTTTTCTCCTCGGACAGACCCATTGATGCTGTTGCCGGGTTACCTGGCGCCTCCATGCCCCGGCTCTTCATGCTCATCTCTGCTCTCAGCGTGGTAATCTCCAGCTCATACTCGGCGGTGGTGTCTCGCAGACGCTTCAGCTCCACCCTCAGGCGGCATAGCTCCTCCTGCAGGGAGGCAATGTCGTTTTCCCTCTCTGCCGCTGCCTCCTCGGCTGCCTGCTGCAGCATCAGCACCTCCTCCTGGGCAGAGCGCAGCTCCTGCTGAACCTCCTCCAGCTCACTCTCTTTCTCCTCCTCCAGGCTGCTCATCTCCTCTTGGACTGAGTAGAGTTGAGCTGCAAGAGTCAAACAGGCAGAGTTTTAAATCTGAGCTAAATCAAAGCAGATTTCCATTTTGATCAGAGCAAAGTTTGGACATGTCAGAACTCAGTGGGGGATTCCATCTAGAACCTGGGTCTAGTCATTCTGAGGACATTTCTACAGACAGTTTGAGGTCAGTGTTTGTCATGTGTGTCTCTTTTTCTCCTGGGATGTAAATGTTTGGACCTTGCAGCCTCTGGATCTGCCGGGTGAAGCTCTCTGCCTGATGAGCACTCGCCAGCCGCTCCTCGTCCAGCAGACCTTTGGAGGACATCCATCACACATTAAATCTGGGTCACTGTTGGACCTTGAACACCTAGCAACCAGTCCTACAGCTCCTCACCCTGCAGCTCCATGAAGCTCTCCTCATGCCTCTGTGAAACCTCACGGGTCTCGTCCAACTCCAGAACTAGCTGCAACACCTGACCTCTCAGCTCCTCCAGCTCCTCCTCTTCCCCCATCACGTCTCCCTGATCTTCATCCTCCGACTCCCTCTCCTTTGACTTCGTGTCTTCCTCCTGCTGCCCTTTCTCCTCCTCTTCGGTCTCCTCCTTCTCCTCCATGGACTCCCTCTCCTTGGCCGTCAGAGTGTCAGCCAACATGACAGGCTTGTCCTCCTTCAGGTCACACAGCTCGTCTGCAGACAGACAAACAAGAAGGTACCAACATGATCCTGAGTAAAAGAGGTTCTTTGCTCTGGCTCCCTCTGCTGGTAGAAAACACAATTTACACACAAGACAGGCTTAAACTGGAGGCAACCAGTCTGTCGCTCAGTTGTTCCTAAAGATGTTCCGACACCCATCCTGGAGTTCTTGTTAATTCTGTCAATTCTATCGGATGCACCAAATCCACGCTCTCTCCACTAAATCGGAATAAAAGCTACCCCGATTTAGTTTTTTTACCCCGATTTATTTCCTATTTTTCTCCCGGGTATTGCTTTTTTTTGTTATTGCACATTACTAACATCACATTTGAGAAATTCACCTCTGCATTTGACCCATCCCCTTGGGGAGCAGTGGGCTGCCACTGTGTGGCACCCGGGGAGCAGTGTGGGGTTAAGGTCTTGCTCAGGGACCTAGAGTGGCAGTCTGTGGGAGTGGAGCTCGAACTCATAACCTCTGGATTCCAAGTTCAATGCCCTAACTACTAGGCCACCACTCCCGCTAATATTTTTTCTTTTCTAGGTTACTTTCACTTCGATGGCTTGGCAGACAATTTGAGTGGTTCTCTATTTTAACAGCACATCTACAGTCATCATGACTTGTTTTAAATTCAGGTTTAAAAAAAACGGCTAAAGCTAACAAGTTTGTTTCCTGTGGGCTACCGTAATCAAAGATGTGTCTGCACTTGGGTGCACTATCACCTGTGCGCTTATAAATGACTCATCCCAAGTAGTGTTGCGCGATGGCATTTTTTTACCCCGATACCCAATACGTGGCTGTGCAGTATTGGCCGATACCGATACCATCTGTTTGAAGTTAATGTGTGTGTATATATGAAGAACTGCATACTACTTGGATGTAAAATAATTGCCATCATGGCTTTGTCAAGCTGCTGCCTACCTTTGTGAAGCAGGAAAAAGACTAATACAAAGTGAATCCAGTAGAACTTTATATTGCCTACCTGGAATGATAGACAATAGTTGAATAAACTTTTGGCTCTCAAAATGGTATCGGTCCCTTTTTGTTGGTACTCGTCGACACCGATACCAGCATTTTAGTGCTGGATTGGGGCCGATACAGGTATCGGTATCGGTGCAGCTAACCCTAAGCTATGGAAACACTTTTTATGCATTACAAGACATGTTTATGAAAGCAATGCTTGATTTTTCAAACTAAAAACATATTAGTTAAACAATGTCTCTCTAAGAGCCCTTTTCCTGGACTCAGATCAAAAGTTTAAAAGGTTAAACTGCAATATTTGACCTCCCAAGGATCTAAAACCCTTGTTATCTAAGTACTGAGAACCCCTAAGTGGCAATGGGGTGATTGTTAAGTAGCAGTGGTGTCAAAAGTACACACATTTGTTAATTAAGTAGAAGTATAGATACTGCAGTATAAAAACACTCATTATCAACTCAGTATCAACTTGACCTCTTTACTCAAGTAAAAGTGAAAAAGTATGTGCTCCAAAAACTACTTAAAGTATAAAGTAACCTTTAAAAAAAAAACAGCCAGATGCCTCTATATGAACTGAAAGCTCAATTTTTCGACTGTTTCGAAAAATTCTTTGAGATAGGGCCAAGGATGAGGGAGGTCTTGTTGGTCTCCATCTCTCGATACGCTCTCGCCTGTGTCCGACCTTTTAGACATTTCTACATCTTTTTCTGAATCCGACATTGTAGCATGGCATAGATAATTCATGTTAGCAGTTTGAAGAACACCTGCTTGCTTCTGATGATTTCCTTTAGCTAACCAATAAGTGTTTGCGTTATACGACTCATCCATTTACACTAGTTTTCACTAGATGTGGATGGAGCCAATGTTCTGCTTTGGGTGGAGCACATGACGTGAAATAAATATTTATAAACATTAAACCGAAGCCAAGAGTAACGAGTAACATTTATTTAAAAAATGTAAGGAATAGAAAGTATAGATATTTGTGTGAAAATGTAATGAGTAGAAGTCAGAAGTAGGAAGAAAAATAAGTGATGGAGTAAAGTATAGATACCTAAAAAGTTTACTTAAGTACAGTAACAAAGTATTTGTACTTCGTTACTTGACACCTCTGTGAAGATGTCATGGAAATAACATACAGATGGATTTTCTTCTCCTGAATGGAGTCAGGCAGCCAGAACTGAGAGCTGATCATTCAGAGATAACAAGCAGTATGAACAGAGAAAACATGCAAAGCTTTCCAGAGAACCGGTCAGAGAAGAGTTTATTTTCAATTTTGTGTCAAATCCAGAGGTCTGCTGATTAATTAATCTCTAACTAAATCAGTCACACACACTAACACAGAAAGCATTATCAACAGAGGCTTTTCCTACAGTTTAGACTAGGCTACATTAATCTGAACCATCTTCACCACTGACCAGAGGAATCCAGCACCTCCTCGATGACGGGGGGCAGCCGGAATCCATCCATGATGCCGACTGTTTGCAGCAACAGCTGCGTCGTTCGCTGCCGAGAGTCAGAGAGGAGGGATGGAGCTCAGGAAGCCTGGTCAAACTGCAAACAGAGAGAGGCGCTGCAGTTCCTTCATCCTGCAGGGCTTTAGAGATATCTGAGGAGTGGAGGAAGCAGAGAGAAGAGATCTGAGACAGTTTTTTTTTTACCCCCCCCTTTTTCCCCTTAAAACCCCTTTTTTTTAAAAAAAAAAAATTTTTTTTTCCCTTTGGAAAACCCGGGGGGTTTTTTTTTTAAAAAAAAATTTTAACAAAAAACCCCCCTTTTTCCAAAAAAAAATTTTTTTTAAATTTTTTTTTTTAAAAATTTGAAAAAATTTTTTTTAAACAAAGGGGCCCCAAAAAACCCAAGTTTTTTTTTAAAAAGGGGGGTTTTAAAAAAAAATTTTTTTTTTTAAAATAAGGGAAAAAAAAAAAAAGGGGGGGGGGAAAAAAAAAAACCGGGGGGGGCCCCCCCCCCAAAAAAAGGGGGGGGAAAAACCGGGGGGGTTTTAAACCCAAAAAGGGGGGGGGGGGGGTTTTTTTTTTTTTTTTTTTTTTTTTTTTTTTTTTTTTTTTTTTTTTTTTTTTTTTTTTTTTTTTTTTGGGTTTTTTTTTTTTTTTTTTTTTTTTTTTTTAAAAAAAATTTTTTTTTTTTTTTTTTTTTTTTTTTTTTTTAAAAAAAAAAAACCCGGGAAAACCCCGGGGGGGGCCCCCCCAAAACCACCCAAGGGGGGCCCAAAGGGGGTTTTTTTTTAAAAAAAAACCCCCCGGGAAGGCGGGCCAAAAAAAGGGGGGGGTTTAAAATTTTTTTTTTCCCAAAAAATTTTAAAAAGGGGAAAAAAAAATTGAAAAAAAAAAAAAAACCCAAAAAAAGGGGGGAAAAAAAAGGGAAAAAGGGGGGGAAAAAATTTTAAAAAAAGGGGGGGTTTGGGGGGGGAAAAAAGGGGGGGGAAAATTTTTAAATTTAAAAAAGGGGGGAAATTTTTTAGGGGGAAAAAGGGGGGGGGGGGAAAAAAAAAAAAAGGGAAAAAAAAAAAAATTTTTTTAAAATTGGGGGGATGGATGGTTTGGGGGGGGATAGGGGGGGGGGTTTTAATAAATGGATGGATGGGGGGGTTTTGGGTTGGATGGGGGAATGGATGGATGGATGGTTTGGTGGGGGATAGGGGGGGGGGGAAAATGGATGGGGAAGGGTTGGGGGATGGATGGATGGTGATGGATGGGGGGGGGGGGGGGGGGGGGGGGGAAAGGGGGGAAAAGGGGGGGGGGTTTTGGGGGGGGGGGGATGGATGGATGGTGGGGGGGGGGGGGGGGGGGGGGGGGGGAAAATGGATGGGATGGAGGGTTGGGGGGAAGGGGGGGGGGGGGGATGGATGGTGGTTTTTTGGGGGGGGAATGGGGGGGGTTTTGGGGGGGGGAGGGAAAGGGAAGGTTTGGGGGGGGGGGGGGTTTTGAGGGGGGGGGGGGGGGGGGGGGGAAGGGGGGGGGGGATGGATGGAGGGGTGGGGGTTTAAAGGGGGATGGGGGATGGGGGGGTTTGGGGGAAGGTTGGGGGGGGGGAAAAAAGGGGGAATGGGGGGGGGGTTTTTTTTTTTAAAAAAAAGGGGTGGGGGAAGGGGGGTTGGATGGATGGGGGGGTTTGGTGGGGGGGGGGGGGATGGGGGGGAGGGAAAGGGTTTGGGGGGGGGGGGTTTTGGAGGGAAAAGGGGGGGGGGGGGGGGGGGGTTTTTTGGAGGGAAAGGATGGTGAAAAAGGTGGGGGGAGGGGAGGGGGGGGGGGGGGAAGGGGGGGGGGGGGGGGGTGGGGGGGGGGGGGGGGGGGGAAAGGGGGGGGGGGGGTTTTGGGTTGGATGGGGTGGGGGGTTAAAAAAGGGGGGATGGGGGGGGGGGGGGGGGGAAAAAAGGGGGATGGTGGGGGGGGGGGTTTTAAAGGGGGGGGGGTTTTGGTTGGGGGGAAAATTTTTTTGGGGAAAAAAATTCCCTTTTGGGAAATTTTAATTTTTATTTTTTTGGTGGGGGGGTTTTTATGGTTTTTTTTTTTAAATTTTTAATTTTTTTGGGGGTTTTTTTAAAGGATTTTTTGGGGGGGGGGGTTTTTTTTTTTAAAGGGGTTTTAAAGGGGGGGGAAAAAAATTTTTTTTTTTTTAAAAAA